ATCAAACCCGACAAAGGGTAATCGACAATGCTGGTTACTATTGGAATCAGACCCAATAAAGGGTAATTGACGGTGCTGGTTCCTAGAACCGGCGGTGATAGGACGAGGCTTATGGCCTGATCAAGCCTTGACTAAAAGTGTGGTACTTGTTAGAAAGTAGAGAACGAGACAAAGCGAGTAGATGCAAAATGGTCTCCGTTGTATTTCCAATGAACAGTGTGTACATATATATAGGGCCCATGTGGGGATGTTACAAGTGTGAAAGAGAGAGAGAGAGTGAAAAGACACCCCTTAGAATAATCCCTAATTGAGTACTAAATAATAATTCTCAACACTCCGCTTGATCAATTAGCTCCTTATAGTCTTTACTGTTCATCTATTATGCATTTTTATGAACCTTCGGAAAACTCATTGGGGAAAATGTAATACCCTAAAATTTGCATTATTTTAAAATAGTTAAATTTGATTTATTTATGCAATTATATGTGAATTTCAAATTTAGGAAATAATATTTTTTATGAAATTAAAAGTAAATATAAGGATAGAAACATGTTGATGCATTCATGCTGTTGCAAATTTATTTCTGTGATGGGTGGTTTTGTTTCAAATGCTAAAAGGTTTTAAAAACCTTTTGAAAATGAGTTTGGAAAATTTGTTTGGAAAAAGAAAGGAATTTTTCCTTCCCCGCGGCCGCACGCCCTCCCCTCTTCCCTTCGTGGGCTGGCCCAGCTCGGCCAGGCGGCCGTTGCCGCGCCCCTTCCCTCTCCCTGCCGTTGACAGCCTAGGCCCAGCCGTCAGCGTTGCCTCTCACCTCCAGCCGTTCCCACGCTATGCGTGCCGTCGAGTATGGAACCGCCGCTCCACTTCAGCGTTGTGGGCGCCTCGTCCGTGTCCTCGGTCTCTAGAAAAGAGGGCTGACCCCATCATGCCCCCCCCCTGCTGCAGTTTTCTTCTTCTTTGGAGACCGTAGCACCAAACCACAGCAACAGGGAAGACCGCGAGCTCGCGAGCCGTCATTGTTCGTCATTCATCATCTCCGGTTCATCCCCGCCCCGATTGAAGTCGTGGTGAGCTTCGCCTTGTTCCCCCCTCTCTCTCTCTCGGTGCCTTCAATTTGTCGAACCGTGGCCTCTAGGGCCTTAGACAAATGCGCCGACGAGCTCCTCCTCCTCGCCGCCAACATGGCGGCGCCCAGCGAGCCATCCCGCGGCCGTGTTTTGTCCCCCGGGTGAACTCGCCATCTTCCCGTGGTCTCGGATTGAGAACCATGGCCCGTAGGGCCTGATCCATTCACGCCGGTGAGCTCTCTCGCCGCCAACCATGGCAGTGCCGCTTGCGCGTCTTGCCGTCTCCCATGAGTCGCGCCTCCCTTCTCCCTCCTGATTTAATCCTAGCCATCCATCACGTGATCAAAGGCCCAGGATGGCCAATACCCCTTCAAGGGGTCAATTTGCTAAAGATTCCCTAGGTTTTGCCAAATAGAACCCGTAGTCCTCGCCATTTAATTATTCCGAAATTGATTTTATTTAAATTCAGAAATAGTTCATTCTATTCACGTAATGCCACTTTGCATTGTTTTGCTTATAAAATCATCGTTTTAGCTCCAAATCGACCCGCTCAAATTGCGTTAGTTTCAGTAATTGCATAATCTACGTGTTTGTACCACTGTTAATTATGTTTGCAACTTTTAAATTTCATGGTTAAGTTTACTCCATTAATTTGCTATAGGAAATCGTGTTTAAATCATAACTTTCGCGTTTTAGCTCCGATTTTCATGAACTTCACGTCGACGTGATCGTAGCAAGACATAGATTCTTTTCATAAACATTTTAACTTGTTTTCTATACTACTGGTGTACTGTTCTAACTATAGGATTGTTTGCTTTGCATGAATGCCTTTGGAATGTTGTATGTTGCCGTGTTGGTCGCGTTCGCACGGTGAGGAGAAACGTTGAAGACCAAGAGTTCTTTGACGACCAGCGGGAGTTTTTGCTAACCAAGGCAAGTATAGCATGGGATCTACCTTGATGTCCTATTCACCATTCATTAATTACTCATTTGCATGTGTCTAATTCTCGATACCCGTAAGGACATCCTAGTGATTGATTATCTTGTTTCCTTGTCTCCTATGGGTTATATGCATAAGGGTAGTTTGCTAGCGCTCAATGTAACTATACATGATCTACATAATGAATGATGGTTCTATGGAACGAAAAGGTAAAATTTGTTTTAAACAACTGAATTATAGGGCGATGGAGCAAATGACTTTCGATCATGATGCTCTCGGCCCTCCATAGGGACTTATCTGTCGGCAAAAGCTGGGACTGACAGTGCAACCGTGAGGGTCATATGGCTCTGACTTTGGCTCAGTAATAGGACCTTTTCTAGCTTGTTAGAGGTTACCTTTATGGCGCAAAAGGGGCTTGCCACGTTGGGTATAGGGTTGCCTATGTTCCTATGTGTATAGCCGCTGATGGATATGTGCCATAGGAAAGGGGGGTCCTACATCTGCTCGCGAGGAAACCTAGCGGCCCTAACTTGTTAGAGAAACCTATGAAATGGCTTCATAGTGTACCCCGTCCGCTCACCTTGGCAGTGTTATGGGAGTAATTAACCCGGACGTATGGAAATCACGACTCACGGTGAATGTGCACAACCTCCGCAGAGGGTTACAAACTGTTATAACAGCCGTGCGCACGGGCACGAGCGGCTCGGAAAACTCACAGAATAACTGGTTATTTTTGTTGCTCATCTATGATGTTCTATGATGATAATATGATACAATTGATTCTGATATCTGATCACGTGGGTTTAATTGGGGGCTTAAGCATAACTTGATAATAGTTAATGATAAAATCTTGACTTACCAAAAGTCCTAACTGCGGTAAACCAGTGTCATCCTTTTTGAGCTTTCATAACCCTATGTTATCTTGTTAAGTACGGGAAGTACCTACGCTTGTTTACTTTCAATATTTGGATAAAAATTCCGGATGGGTAACAGATGACAACGGATATGAGGAGTTCTCTGAGGACTATTTGGCTTATGGTCAACCAGTTGACCGTCCCTATGATGGAGCTACCACGAGAGAGCTATTTTTTTTTATTTTCCGCTGTGTTGTGTAAGACTATGTGATGTTTTAATCGTGATGTAAGATACACCGTGATGATACTCTTTATAATTTGTCAGCTTATGTGTGTGACTGATCCCTGGGCACACATGACTTTAGTGCATTCAATTTTATCCTTAAAATTGGGTGTGACAGAAAACCAAAGTAATGCCGGTATATCAGGCAAAACTCTTTAAAACCCAGTGAAAAAAAGGAGAAACACCATGATATACAGATTAATAGTCATGGTGGTCCGAAGACGGACACCATGCCCATCTCCGAAAACCAATTTAAAATTGTCTCTGAAATCTTGTACATATCCTTGTAAGTTCTTGCAGCATCCTTTTTGTGACATACAGACATCATGAATCTACATTTTAGCTTTTAATTTTGAATCTAGTTTAACACATTTAAAATAATAACATTATACAATGCAGGGAATTTAGATTCTTCATTTTAATATTTTTTCTATTTTCAACGTGCTAAATAAGACAAAACATAGCTGTATTTTCTGCAGTCATCTCATGTTATCTCTTCGGTGGATGAAACTGTTAATTACCAAATATAACTAGTGACAGAGCACAATTCTGATGACTTTTAATTTGGATATGTTAAACGTTTTAAATAAATAAACATCATATATATACATTTTGTATTTTTCAAGCACACACATATATAACTTTACATGCAGTTAACCTAACAAAACTGGTTTTGAGATCTTATGATTTTTCTATACTTACTTTGATTTCTGTAAACTCCTGTAGAAACGCTAAAAAACTTGTTAGCTTGCACTGTAACCTTGAAGTTCATTCTTTGGTATAGTACCATTAGTACCAATCGTCCGCTGATAAGCAGTAATCATCTTCCAGTACACCAATCAAGAAGTCAGCCAACCGTAGTCCTTCAATTGGACGAATTAAGAAGTCGTCCAACTGTACGATTACTCCAATTTTAGTATATGTTTATATTTAAAATAATAATAAATAATAAAATAATTATGGCGTGTTTACACATGGCCACCGGTGTACCTAGTCTATTTCACCACCTCAGAGTATGTCCTGCAGTTTATCTATACGACCTCTCGTTCCCATAAAACTATTAATCGAAGGAGGTTAATTTTTTTTGCTCCAACAGCACTCCAATAGCCTCTCATTTTCTTGGTGGCCTCCTAAAACTCATCTTCTGTATCATTCTACTGGAGATTAAATTATTGATGAGTTGCTAGAGTTGGCTCTTAGAGACCGTTATTGCGCTTAGCAGTCCAGCTAGATAGCAACTCCAAGTGTTCATTTAAAGAGAGATGTCAAATTAATTACATGATTTTAGCCGTTATCTATCTAAAATAAAAAAACACCAAACTTTAAAGTAAAACACTCCAACGAGCTTTTCTAAATATTTCCTTGTCCATAATTAAAACTGCCATGTAATCTCGTTTGCTTCGATATCGGGATCCATGGCGTCCAGTCGCACGTCGCACGAGGAGAGAGGACGTGCGGGAGGAGGACAGTGGAGAGGGAAAAAAGCACGGGAGAGGTCAGTAGACATTCTATTGTTACATTGGAGACTCATTCTACACCAAAAGTGATCAAACTAGCTCAGTTACGTACGTACGTACGTACGTACGTACGCGTGCTGTACCAAACAGGGCCATTAAGCGTTGGCCTTGTATACAAGGCATCGAACGACTTTTTGTTACGCAAAATTATATTCGTGCACTGTGATTTAAATTTCCATCCATGCGTTGACTAGTACACTACTTCTTTGACTATCTAGAGAACGCCACTCCACGTACGTACGGTTATCTGTCATGAGGTTTTTGAGCGTTCGCTGGTTTTCAATCTCTATAAATAGACGCATGCACAAACATAGTAGCCACACAACACAAGCAATATATATGATGAAGGTGCAGAGGATGGGAGGGGTTGTGTTGGCAGCAGCAGCAGTGCTGCTGGCTGCAGTGGTGGCCGTGGCGGCGGCAGAACTCGTGCCGGTGACGGACAAGGACCTGGAGTCGGAGGCCAGCCTGTGGAGCCTATACCAGAGGTGGCTCAGCGTGTACAACGGGTCGCTGGACCTCGTGGAGAAGCCGAGCAGGTTCGACACGTTCAAGGAGAACGCTAGGCACATCAACGAGTTCAACAAGAGGAGGACGAGCCGTACAAGCTCGGCCTCAACCAGTTCTCCGACTTGACCGAGGAGGAGTTCGACAGCGGCATGTACACCGGAGCCATGCTGCCCGAAGACGCCGCCGGCAACGTCAGCCTCAGCAGTAGCACGGTCGACGACGATAAGCTGCTGGCCTCCGCCGCCGGCAAGGTGCCGGCCAAGTGGGACTGGAGACGCCACGGAGCTGTCACTCCAGTGAAGAACCAAAGAAACTGCGGTGCGTGCGTGTGTGTGTATATATATATAGTTTCCATGCATGTTCTGGCTATTTATACATGCGTATATATAACTTTTGCTACGCATGCTTTAATTTATAAATACGTGCTATATCTAAATATATCAACTTACAATTTAACTAGAGAACTATTCCATATATACGTATATATATGTTAAAAACATGTTGTGTATGCATGCATGCAGGGAGCTGTTGGGCTTTCTCGATGGTGGGTTCTGTGGAGGGCATCAACGCAATCAAGACAGGGAAACTGCGGACACTGTCGGAGCAAGAGGTGCTCGACTGCTCCGGCGCCGGGACCTGTAAAGGTGGGGACCCGTACCGGGCATTCGATCACGCCATCAGCCCCGGGTTGGCCTTAGACCAGCACGGGAATCCTCCGTACTACCCTGCCTACGTTGCCGAGAAGAAGAAGTGCAGATTCAACCCGGTGCGTGCACACATATATATAGTTTAATTTTGAGAAGAAAAATATATAAATAATCAATCTCATTTCTAAATGCATGCATGCCCGGCCCGGCTGCAGAGGAAGCCTGTGGTGAAGATCAACGGCAAGAGAATGATGAGAGACACCACCGAGGCGCAGCTGCTGTGTCGCGTGTACAAGCAGCCGGTGTTGGTCGCCATCGAGGCCAACCGCGCCTTCAGTCGCTACAGTAAGGGCGTCTTCACGGGGCCTTGCGGGACGCGTCTAAACCACGCGGTCCTGGTCGTGGGCTACGGAACTACGGCGAACGGTGTGGACTACTGGATCGTTAAGAACTCGTGGGGCAAGGGCTGGGGCGAGAATGGCTACATCCGGATGAAGCGTAACGTGGGTACCAAAGCGGGTCTCTGCGGCATATACAAGACGCCCATGTACCCCATCAAGAATAAGTAATTGACCGGCCCTGCCCGGTGCCCGGTGCCCGCCGCCGCCTCCTGTGGCTAGCTACTGGGACCTATCTACTACCTAGATGTTTAAACTACGTGCATGATGATGAGTAGGTGTATACGGACTCGTCTACGCATATATATAATAAAATAAAAATATACTTCCTCCTTTTTTTTGTCTTATTATCGGATGTGTCGTTGCGAAACATCATAAAAGAACGTCGCGTTTAATTTGTGTCTGAGCTAACTCTTTGGCGGGAGAGAAAGTGACATTAATATAAGGACGTTGTATGCACACTTTGCACATCTGGATCCGTAACATATGAATTTTTTTTATAAAAAAAACAACTCCTTGCCCCGCTGTGTTTGGCGGTAGCGTATACCGGAAGATGATGAAGGTGCAGAAAAAGAAGATGGGAGTGGTTGTGTTGGCAGCAGCAGCTATGCTGGCTTCAATGGTGACCATGGAAGTAGGAGATGTCCCGTTGACGGACAAGGCGGACCACCTGGAGTCGGAGGAGAGCATGTGGAACCTATACGCCCATATATATACGAGAGAGGTGGCCGGCTCAACATGTTACTTGTAAACGGTGATGTCGCAGGATGATCTCGCGGAGAAGGAAAATAATTGGGTACACACCCCTGCACCGCGCCTCCGTACAGACCCACCTTGGATAGAAGCCACGTATCCTGAAAAGGAGAGGACGTTCGAGGTGTTCAAGGCCAACGCCAGGTACATCAGCTACTTCAACAAGGAGGACGTACGTGGCCTACAAGCTCAACATATTCTCCGATTTCCATGTAGGAGTTCGACCGCACGTACAGCAGTGGCAAGGGTGAAGCCGACGTCATGGGCGATGACGCTAGCTATAGCGGCGCGTCCCACGAGCAGCCGCCGGTCACTGCCGCTTGCCGGTGACCTGATGCCCAACGCGTGGGGCTAGAGAGACTATTATGCTGTTACTCCTGTGAACAACCATGGAAAATAAATTAGAAGACTCGACTAAGCCTCGAATATGTTTTCTCTATTTTCAAAAATAAATTTTCGACGACGAGAGCAGCTGAAAAAAGACATAGATATACTGACTATGAGGTTTCTTCATAACCGGTTTCACCAATAAGTCAGAGAGAAGCAATGGCTTCACTTTTGTAGTATAAAAAATGGTTTCTTCCCTCTGGAACTTCTCTCATAAAATCATTTTTTGAGTTAGCATTTGCCGGGGCTTCACCTAGAGAAATCAAGCCCCTTAGATAGAGCGGAGTGTATATGTATGTGTATGGTTTGAATAAAACAGTGTGTAGTGTCTGGTTTGAATAAACCATTCCCTTATTGCAAGATAATTATAGGGTAAGTTTTTCTCCTGGTCTCACTATTCTTGGTCCATGGATCACTATCAGGTCCAAACCAAGCATCACTATTGGAATCAAACCCGACAAAGGGTAATCGACAATGCTGGTTACTATTGGAATCAGACCCAATAAAGGGTAATTGACGGTGCTGGTTCCTAGAACCGGCGGTGATAGGACGAGGCTTATGGCCTGATCAAGCCTTGACTAAAAGTGTGGTACTTGTTAGAAAGTAGAGAACGAGACAAAGCGAGTAGATGCAAAATGGTCTCCGTTGTATTTCCAATGAACAGTGTGTACATATATATAGGGCCCATGTGGGGATGTTACAAGTGTGAAAGAGAGAGAGAGTGAAAAGACACCCCTTAGAATAATCCCTAATTGAGTACTAAATAATAATTCTCAACACTCCGCTTGATCAATTAGCTCCTTATAGTCTTTACTGTTCATCTATTATGCATTTTTATGAACCTTCGGAAAACTCATTGGGGAAAATGTAATACCCTAAAATTTGCATTATTTTAAAATAGTTAAATTTGATTTATTTATGCAATTATATGTGAATTTCAAATTTAGGAAATAATATTTTTTATGAAATTAAAAGTAAATATAAGGATAGAAGCATGTTGATGCATTCATGCTGTTGCAAATTTATTTCTGTGATGGGTGGTTTTGTTTCAAATGCTAAAAGGTTTTAAAACCTTTTGAAAATGAGTTTGGAAAATTTGTTTGGAAAAAAGAAAGGAATTTTCCCTTCCCATGACCGCCGCGCCTCCCCTCTTCCCTTCCTGGGCCAGCCCAGCTCGGCCAGGCGGCCGTTGCCAAGGCCTTCCCTCTCTCCCTCCGTTGATGCCTTAGGCCCACCATCAGCGGCGTTCCTCTCACCTCCAAATTGTTCCACGTTATGTGCGTCGGTATGAACCGCCCGCTCCACTTCCACAGTGGGCGCCTCGTCCGTGTCCTCGGTCTCTAGAAAAGAGGGCTGACCCCATCATGCCCCCCACTGCAGTTTTCTTCTTCTTTGGAGACCGTAGCACCAAACCACAGCAACAGGGAAGACCGCGAGCTCGCGAGCCGTCATTGTTCGTCATTCATCATCTCCGGTTCATCCCGGCCCCGATTGAAGTCGTGGTGAGCTTCGCCTTGTTCCCCCCTCTCTCTTGGTGCCTTCAATTTGTCGAACCGTGGCCTCTAGGGCCTTAGACAAATGCGCCGACGAGCTCCTCCTCATTTGCCAACATGGCGGCGCGCCACATGAGCCATCCAGCTGGCCGTGTTTTGTCCCGGGGTGAACTCGCCATCTTCCCGTGGTCTCGGATTGGAGAACCATGGCCCGTAGGGCCTGATCCATTCACGCCGGTGAGCTCCTCGCCGCCAACCATGGCAGTGCCGCCGCGTCGGCTTCGTCTCCGGCGAGTCGCCTCCCTTCTCCCCTCCCTGATTTAATCCTAGCCGTCCATCACGTGATCAAAGGCCCAGGATGGCCAATACCCCTTCGCGGGTCAATTTGCTAAAGATTCCCCTAGGTTTTGCCAAATAGAACCCGTAGTCCTCGGCCATTTAATTATTCCGAAATTGATTTTATTTAAATTCAGAAATAGTTCATTCTATTTACAGAAATGCCACTGCATTGTTTTGCTTATAAAATCATCGTTTTAGCTCCAAATCGACCCGTTCAAATTGCGTTAGTTTCGTAATTGCATAATCTACGTGTTTGTACCACTGTTAATTATGTTTGCAACTTTTAAATTTCATGGTTAAGTTTACTCCATTAATTTGCTATAGGAAATCGTGTTTAAATCATAACTTTCGCGTTTTAGCTCCGATTTTCATGAACTTCACGTCGACGTGATCGTAGCAAGACATAGATTCTTTTCATAAACATTTTAACTTGTTTTCTATACTACTGGTGTACTGTTCTAACTATAGGATTGTTTGCTTTGCATGAATGCCTTTGGAATGTTGTATGTTGCCGTGTTGGTCGCGTTCAGACGGTGAGGAGAACGTTGAAGACCAAGAGTTCTTTGACGACCAGCAGGACCAGCAGGAGTTTGCTAACCAAGGCAAGTATAGCATGGGATCTACCTTGATGTCCTATTCACCATTCATTAATTACTCATTTGCATGTGTCTAATTCTGATACCCGTAAGGACATCCTAGTGATTGATTATCTTGTTTCCTTGTCTCCTATGGGTTATATGCATAAGGGTAGTTTGCTAGCGCTCAATGTAACTATACATGATCTACATAACGAATGATGGTTCTATGGAACGAAAAGGTAAAATTTGTTTTAAACAACTGAATTATAGGGCGATGGAGCAAATGACTTTCGATCATGATGCTCTCGGCCCTCCATAGGGACTTATCTGTCGGCAAAAGCTGGGACTGACAGTGCAACCGTGAGGGTCATATGGCTCTGACTTTGGCTCAGTAATAGGACCTTTTCTAGCTTGTTAGAGGTTACCTTTATGGCGCAAAAGGGGCTTGCCACGTTGGGTATAGGGTTGCCTATGTTCCTATGTGTATAGCCGCGATGGATATGTGCCATAGGAAAGGGGGGTTCCTACATCTGTCTGCCGAGGAAACCTAGCGGCCCTAACTTGTTAGAGAAACCTATGAAATGGCTTCATAGTGTACCTCGTCCGCTCACCTTGGCAGTGTTATGGGAGTAATTAACCCGGACGTATGGAAATCACGACTCACGGTGAATGTGCACAACCTCCGCAGAGGGTTACAAACTGTTATAACAGCCGTGCGCACGGGCACGAGCGGCTCGGAAAACTCACAGAATAACTGGTTATTTTTGTTGCTCATCTATGATGTTCTATGATGATAATATGATACAATTGATTCTGATATCTGATCACGTGGGTTTAATTGGGGGCTTAAGCATAACTTGATAATAGTTAATGATAAAATCTTGACTTACCAAAAGTCCTAACTGCGGTAAACCAGTGTCATCCTTTTTGAGCTTTCATAACCCTATGTTATCTTGTTAAGTACGGGAAGTACCTACGCTTGTTTACTTTCAATATTTGGATAAAAATTCCGGATGGGTAACAGATGACAACGGATATGAGGAGTTCTCTGAGGACTATTTGGCTTATGGTCAACCAGTTGACCGTCCCTATGATGGAGCTACCACGAGAGAGCTATTTTTTTTATTTTCCGCTGTGTTGTGTAAGACTATGTGATGTTTTAATCGTGATGTAAGATACACCGTGATGATACTCTTTATAATTTGTCAGCTTATGTGTGTGACTGATCCCTGGGCACACATGACTTTAGTGCATTCAATTTTATCCTTAAAATTGGGTGTGACAGAAAACCAAAGTAATGCCGGTATATCAGGCAAAACTCTTTAAAACCCAGTGAAAAAAAGGAGAAACACCATGATATACAGATTAATAGTGATGGTGGTCCGAAGACGGACACCATGCCCATCTCCGAAAACCAATTTAAAATTGTCTCTGAAATCTTGTACATATCCTTGTAAGTTCAGCATCCTTTTTGTGACATACAGACATCATGAATCTACATTTTAGCTTTTAATTTTGAATCTAGTTTAACACATTTAAAATAATAACATTATACAATGCAGGGAATTTAGATTCTTCATTTTAATATTTTTTCTATTTTCAACGTGCTAAATAAGACAAAACATAGCTGTATTTTCTGCAGTCATCTCATGTTATCTCTTCGGTGGATGAAACTGTTAATTACCAAATATAACTAGTGACAGAGCACAATTCTGATGACTTTTAATTTGGATATGTTAAACGTTTTAAATAAATAAACATCATATATATACATTTTGTATTTTTCAAGCACACACATATATAACTTTACATGCAGTTAACCTAACAAAACTGGTTTTGAGATCTTATGATTTTTCTATACTTACTTTGATTTCTGTAAACTCCTGTAGAAACGCTAAAAAACTTGTTAGCTTGCACTGTAACCTTGAAGTTCATTCTTTGGTATAGTACCATTAGTACCAATCGTCCGCTGATAAGCAGTAATCATCTTCCAGTACACCAATCAAGAAGTCAGCCAACCGTAGTCCTTCAATTGGACGAATTAAGAAGTCGTCCAACTGTACGATTACTCCAATTTTAGTATATGTTTATATTTAAAATAATAATAAATAATAAAATAATTATGGCGTGTTTACACATGGCCACCGGTGTACCTAGTCTATTTCACCACCACAGAGTATGTCCTGCAGTTTATCTATACGACCTCTCGTTCCCATAAAACTATTAATCGAAGGAGGTTAATTTTTTTTTGCTCCAACAGCACTCCAATAGCCTCTCATTTTCTTGGTGGCCTCCTAAAAACTCATCTTCTGTATCATTCTACTGGAGATTAAATTATTGATGAGTTGCTAGAGTTGGCTCTTAGAGACCGTTATTGCGCTTAGCAGTCCAGCTAGATAGCAACTCCAAGTGTTCATTTAAAGAGAGATGTCAAATTAATTACATGATTTTAGCCGTTATCTATCTAAAATAAAAAAAACACCAAACTTTAAAGTAAAACACTCCAACGAGCTTTTCTAAATATTTCCTTGTCCATAATTAAAACTGCCATGTAATCTCGTTTGCTTCGATATCGGGATCCATGCGTCCCAGTCGCCGCGTCGCACGAGGAGAGAGGGACGTGCAGGCGGAGGACAGTGGAGAGGGAAAAAAAGCACGGGAGAGGTCAGTAGACATTCTATTGTTACATTGGAGACTCATTCTACACCAAAAGTGATCAAACTAGCTCAGTTACGTGCGTGCGTGCGTGTCACGCGCTGCTGTACCAAACAGGGCCATTAAGCGTTGGCCTTGTATACAAGGCATCGAACGACTTTTTGTTACGCAAAATTATATTCGTGCACTGTGATTTAAATTTCCATCCATGCGTTGACTAGTACACTACTTCTTTGACTATCTAGAGAACGCCACTCCACGTACGTACGGTTATCTGTCATGAGGTTTTTGAGCGTTCGCTGGTTTTCAATCTCTATAAATAGACGCATGCACAAACATAGTAGCCACACAACACAAGCAATATATATGATGAAGGTGCAGAGGATGGGAGGGTTGTGTTGGCAGCAGCAGCAGCAGTGCTGCTGGCTGCAGTGGTGGCCGTGGCGGCGGCAGAACTCGTGCCGGTGACGGACAAGGACCTGGAGTCGGAGGCCAGCCTGTGGAGCCTATACCAGAGGTGGCTCAGCGTGTACAACGGGTCGCTGGACCTCGTGGAGAAGCCGAGCAGGTTCGACACGTTCAAGGAGAACGCTAGGCACATCAACGAGTTCAACAAGAGGGAGGACGAGCCGTACAAGCTCGGCCTCAACCAGTTCTCCGACTTGACCGAGGAGGAGTTCGACAGCGGCATGTACACCGGAGCCATGCTGCCCGAAGACGCCGGCAACGTCAGCCTCAGCAGTAGCACGGTCGACGACGATAAGCTGCTGGCCTCCGCCGCCGGCAAGGTGCCGGCCAAGTGGGACTGGAGACGCCACGGAGCTGTCACTCCAGTGAAGAACCAAAGAAACTGCGGTGCGTGCGTGTGTGTGTATATATATATAGTTTCCATGCATGTTCTGGCTATTTATACATGCGTATATATAACTTTTGCTACGCATGCTTTAATTTATAAATACGTGCTATATCTAAATATATCAACTTACAATTTAACTAGAGAACTATTCCATATATACGTATATATATGTTAAAAACATGTTGTGTATGCATGCATGCAGGGAGCTGTTGGGCTTTCTCGATGGTGGGTTCTGTGGAGGGCATCAACGCAATCAAGACAGGGAAACTGCGGACACTGTCGGAGCAAGAGGTGCTCGACTGCTCCGGCGCCGGGACCTGTAAAGGTGGGGACCCGTACCGGGCATTCGATCACGCCATCAGCCCCGGGTTGGCCTTAGACCAGCACGGGAATCCTCCGTACTACCCTGCCTACGTTGCCGAGAAGAAGAAGTGCAGATTCAACCCGGTGCGTGCACACATATATATAGTTTAATTTTGAGAAGAAAAATATATAAATAATCAATCTCATTTCTAAATGCATGCATGCCCGGCCCGGCTGCAGAGGAAGCCTGTGGTGAAGATCAACGGCAAGAGAATGATGAGAGACACCACCGAGGCGCAGCTGCTGTGTCGCGTGTACAAGCAGCCGGTGTTGGTCGCCATCGAGGCCAACCGCGCCTTCAGTCGCTACAGTAAGGGCGTCTTCACGGGGCCTTGCGGGACGCGTCTAAACCACGCGGTCCTGGTCGTGGGCTACGGAACTACGGCGAACGGTGTGGACTACTGGATCGTTAAGAACTCGTGGGGCAAGGGCTGGGGCGAGAATGGCTACATCCGGATGAAGCGTAACGTGGGTACCAAAGCGGGTCTCTGCGGCATATACAAGACGCCCATGTACCCCATCAAGAATAAGTAATTGACCGGCCCTGCCCGGTGCCCGGTGCCCGCCGCCGCCTCCTGTGGCTAGCTACTGGGACCTATCTACTACCTAGATGTTTAAACTACGTGCATGATGATGAGTAGGTGTATACGGACTCGTCTACGCATATATATAATAAAATAAAAATATACTTCCTCCTTTTTTTTGTCTTATTATCGGATGTGTCGTTGCGAAACATCATAAAAGAACGTCGCGTTTAATTTGTGTCTGAGCTAACTCTTTGGCGGGAGAGAAAGTGACATTAATATAAGGACGTTGTATGCACACTTTGCACATCTGGATCCGTAACATATGAATTTTTTTTATAAAAAAAACAACTCCTTGCCCCGCTGTGTTTGGCGGTAGCGTATACCGGAAGATGATGAAGGTGCAGAAAAAGAAGATGGGAGTGGTTGTGTTGGCAGCAGCAGCTGTGCTGGCTTCAATGGTGACCATGGAAGTAGGAGATGTCCCGTTGACGGACAAGGCGGACCACCTGGAGTCGGAGGAGAGCATGTGGAACCTATACGCCCATATATATACGAGAGAGGCGGCCGGCTCAACGTGTTACTTGTAAACGGTGATGTCGCAGGATGATCTCGCGGAGAAGGAAAATAATTGGGTACACACCCCTGCACCGCGCCTCCGTACAGACCCACCTTGGATAGAAGCCACGTATCCTGAAAAGGAGAGGACGTTCGAGGTGTTCAAGGCCAACGCCAGGTACATCAGCTACTTCAACAAGGAGGACGTACGTGGCCTACAAGCTCAACATATTCTCCGATTTCCATGTAGGAGTTCGACCGCACGTACAGCAGTGGCAAGGGTGAAGCCGACGTCATGGGCGATGACGCTAGCTATAGCGGCGCGTCCCACGAGCAGCCGCCGGTCACTGCCGCTTGCCGGTGACCTGATGCCCAACGCGTGGGACTAGAGAGACTATTATGCTGTTACTCCTGTGAACAACCATGGAAAATAAATTAGAAGACTCGACTAAGCCTCGAATATGTTTTCTCTATTTTCAAAAATAAATTTTCGACGACGAGAGCAGCTGAAAAAAAGACATAGATATACTGACTATGAGGTTTCTTCATAACCGGTTTCACCAATAAGTCAGAGAGAAGCAATGGCTTCACTTTTGTAGTATAAAAAATGGTTTCTTCCCTCTGGAACTTCTCTCATAAAATCATTTTTTGAGTTAGCATTTGCCGGGGCTTCACCTAGAGAAATCAAGCCCCTTAGATAGAGCGGAGTGTATATGTATGTGTATGGTTTGAATAAAACAGTGTGTAGTGTCTGGTTTGAATAAACCATTCCCTTATTGCAAGATAATTATAGGGTAAGTTTTTCTCCTGGTCTCACTATTCTTGGTCCATGGATCACTATCAGGTCCAAACCAAGCATCACTATTGGAATCAAACCCGACAAAGGGTAATCGACAATGCTGGTTACTATTGGAATCAGACCCAATAAAGGGTAATTGACGGTGCTGGTTCCTAGAACCGGCGGTGATAGGACGAGGCTTATGGCCTGATCAAGCCTTGACTAAAAGTGTGGTACTTGTTAGAAAGTAGAGAACGAGACAAAGCGAGTAGATGCAAAATGGTCTCCGTTGTATTTCCAATGAACAGTGTGTACATATATATAGGGCCCATGTGGGGATGTTACAAGTGTGAAAGAGAGAGAGAGAGTGAAAAGACACCCCTTAGAATAATCCCTAATTGAGTACTAAATAATAATTCTCAACACTCCGCTTGATCAATTAGCTCCTTATAGTCTTTACTGTTCATCTATTATGCATTTTTATGAACCTTCGGAAAACTCATTGGGGAAAATGTAATACCCTAAAATTTGCATTATTTTAAAATAGTTAAATTTGATTTATTTATGCAATTATATGTGCATTTCAAATTTAGGAAATAATATTTTTTATGAAATTAAAAGTAAATATAAGGATAGAAACATGTTGATGCATTCATGCTGTTGCAAATTTATTTCTGTGATGGGTGGTTTTGTTTCAAATGCTAAAAGGTTTTAAAAACCTTTTGAAAATGAGTTTGGAAAATTTGTTTGGAAAAAGAAAGGAATTTTTCCTTCCCCGCGGCCGCACGCCCTCCCCTCTTCCCTTCGTGGGCTGGCCCAGCTCGGCCAGGCGGCCGTTGCCGCGCCCCTTCCCTCTCCCTGCCGTTGACAGCCTAGGCCCAGCCGTCAGCGTTGCCTCTCACCTCCAGCCGTTCCACGTTGCGTGCCGTCAGGGCGGAACCGCCGCTCCACTTCGCGTTGTGGGCGCCTCGTCCGTGTCCTCGGTCTCTAGAAAAGAGGGCCAGACCCCATCATGCCCCCCGCTGCAGTTTTCTTCTTCTTTGGAGACCGTAGCACCAAACCACAGCAACAGGGAAGACCGCGAGCTCGCGAGCCGTCATTGTTCGTCATTCATCATCTCCGGTTCATCCCCGCCCCGATTGAAGTCGTGGTGAGCTTCGCCTTGTTCCCCCCTCTCTCTTGGTGCCTTCAATTTGTCGAACCGTGGCCTCTAGGGCCTTAGACAAATGCGCCGACGAGCTCCTCCTCGCTGCCAACATGGCGGCGCCGCCACATGAGCCATCCCGCGGCCGTGTTTTGTCCCGGGGTGAACTCGCCATCTTCCCCGTGGTCTCGGATTGGAGAACCATGGCCCGTAGGGCCTGATCCATTCACGCCGGTGAGCTCCTCGCCGCCAACCATGGCAGTGCCGCCGCGTCGGCTTCGTCTCCGGCGAGTCGCCTCCCTTCTCCCCTCCCTGATTTAATCCTAGCCGTCCATCACGTGATCAAAGGCCCAGGATGGCCAATACCCCTTCGCGGGTCAATTTGCTAAAGATTCCCCTAGGTTTTGCCAAATAGAACCCGTAGTCCTCGGCCATTTAATTATTCCGAAATTGATTTTATTTAAATTCAGAAATAGTTCATTCTATTTACAGAAATGCCACTGCATTGTTTTGCTTATAAAATCATCGTTTTAGCTCCAAATCGACCCGTTCAAATTGCGTTAGTTTCGTAATTGCATAATCTACGTGTTTGTACCACTGTTAATTATGTTTGCAACTTTTAAATTTCATGGTTAAGTTTACTCCATTAATTTGCTATAGGAAATCGTGTTTAAATCATAACTTTCGCGTTTTAGCTCCGATTTTCATGAACTTCACGTCGACGTGATCGTAGCAAGACATAGATTCTTTTCATAAACATTTTAACTTGTTTTCTATACTACTGGTGTACTGTTCTAACTATAGGATTGTTTGCTTTGCATGAATGCCTTTGGAATGTTGTATGTTGCCGTGTTGGTCGCGTTCAGACGGTGAGGAGAACGTTGAAGACCAAGAGTTCTTTGACGACCAGCAGGACCAGCAGGAGTTTGCTAACCAAGGCAAGTATAGCATGGGATCTACCTTGATGTCCTATTCACCATTCATTAATTACTCATTTGCATGTGTCTAATTCTGATACCCGTAAGGACATCCTAGTGATTGATTATCTTGTTTCCTTGTCTCCTATGGGTTATATGCATAAGGGTAGTTTGCTAGCGCTCAATGTAACTATACATGATCTACATAATGAATGATGGTTCTATGGAACGAAAAGGTAAAATTTGTTTTAAACAACTGAATTATAGGGCGATGGACCAAATGACTTTCGATCATGATGCTCTCGGCCCTCCATAGGGACTTATCTGTCGGCAAAAGCTGGGGTGACCGATTAAGGTAACCGTGAGGGTCATATGGCTCGACTTTGGCTCAGAATAGGACCTTTTCTAGCTTGTTAGAGGTTACCTTTATGGCGCAAAAAGGGCTTGCCACGTTGGGTATAGGGTTGCCTATGTTCCTATGTGTATAGCCGCGATGGATATGTGCCATAGGAAAGGGGGGGTTCCTACATCTGTCTTCACGAGGAAACCTAGCGGCCCTAACTTGTTAGAGAAACCTATGAAATGGCTTCATAGTGTACCTCATCCGCTCACCTTGGCAGTGTTATGGGAGTAATTAACCCGGACGTATGGAAATCACGACTCACGGTGAATGTGCACAACCTCCGCAGAGGGTTACAAACTGTTATAACAGCCGTGCGCACGGGCACGAGCGGCTCGGAAAACTCACAGAATAACTGGTTATTTTTGTTGCTCATCTATGATGTTCTATGATGATAATATGATACAATTGATTCTGATATCTGATCACGTGGGTTTAATTGGGGGCTTAAGCATAACTTGATAATAGTTAATGATAAAATCTTGACTTACCAAAAGTCCTAACTACGGTAAACCAGTGTCATCCTTTTTGAGCTTTCATAACCCTATGTTATCTTGTTAAGTACGGGAAGTACCTACGCTTGTTTACTTTCAATATTTGGATAAAAATTCCGGATGGGTAACAGATGACAACGGATATGAGGAGTTCTCTGAGGACTATTTGGCTTATGGTCAACCAGTTGACCGTCCCTATGATGGAGCTACCACGAGAGAGCTATTTTTTTTTTATTTTCCGCTGTGTTGTGTAAGACTATGTGATGTTTTAATCGTGATGTAAGATACACCGTGATGATACTCTTTATACTTTGTCAGCTTATGTGTGTGACTGATCCCTGGGCACACATGACTTTAGTGCATTCAATTTTATCCTTAAAATTGGGTGTGACAGAAAACCAAAGTAATGCCGGTATATCAGGCAAAACTCTTTAAAACCCAGTGAAAAAAAGGAGAAACACCATGATATACAGATTAATAGTGATGGTGGTCCGAAGACGGACACCATGCCCATCTCCGAAAACCAATTTAAAATTGTCTCTGAAATCTTGTACATATCGCAGCATCCTTTTTGTGACATACAGACATCATGAATCTACATTTTAGCTTTTAATTTTGAATCTAGTTTAACACATTTTAAATAATAACATTATACAATGCAGGGAATTTAGATTCTTCATTTTAATATTTTTTCTATTTTCAACGTGCTAAATAAGACA